TTAACAGTTTAAGACTGAAGCAGAGTAAACTTGTATAGATGTGCTGCTAAAATTTACGTTATAGTTTACATTTTAATTTAAATTTGGTAGTTGCATTTGAGGAAAATGTATAAAAAATAACATTTTGTTTTTTAATGTTTGCAACCGCATTTGTTTTGCAGTATTTGTATTGTTAATACATTCAGAGGGAGTGTGGCCTTATTGAAAAGAGCCTGTTTGAAATAAAATAAATGGTTTCAAAAGTTATGGTGTGATATATATACCAACTTATCTACTTGTCAGAGTTTATACTACCTTTTTATTGTCAAACATAATTTTTACCCATCAATTTTTGCATGATAATTGCATTTCATTTTCATTCTGTTTAATATTCAACAAGTTGAACAGATAATCCACACGAACCCCGCTACTTGGTATCGGTATCGTGAGTACCTAAACTGAAGTACTCGTACTTGTACTCAGTCTTGAAAAAACTGGTATCGGGACACCCCTAATTATTATTATTATGTTATATTAGCCCTGTGATGGATTTGCGACCTGTCCAGGGTGTACCCTGCCCCTTGCACTGTGACTGCTGGATATGGGCACCAGTGACCCCCGTGACCCTGAAAGGAAAAAACGGGTATAGATAATGGATGGATGGATTATTATATTATATTTTATATTATGCTACTATTATTATTATTATTATTATTTTGATTATTGTTGGGGTCATAACCCCCTCAACCCCCCATGCAAACTACGCCCTTGACTTTGGCATTAATTATTAGCATCAATCCTCTTGGTCTTTTAGCAAAATATCTAATGAACCACTGGGCATATTTTAATCAAATTTACAGAAAGTAATAAATTCACAGATTTTGAGTTAAATTTGGTTTTATAGTAGCTTAAAGTAATTTTCAACACATATTAAGCACTAACAGATTGTAGCATTTTGCAGAATATCACGTAAGATTGTGCATGACATCATCACGTTAGACCAACACAGCTACAAACTCCTCCTTTCTTTTCGTTAGAACTTTGGCACAAAAGGCGGCGGGTGATATGCATTCCTCAAAGGAAGGCTACACCTATAAATCTTCTAGCATTTATGTCTTTTTCTTTTTTTTATTATAAAACCGATCCTGGCCAACAGAAGAGGGAGCCAGTGACAAATAACTTGGTTACGGTACAATTTCCTTATCACAGAGACCATTAAAAAGTGCGGTGGCCAAAACAAAGCCTGCACAAAATAAATATTTTAAAGATAAACAGGCAGAGATGCTCACCGGCTCCTTGCCATCCATGGCCTCCAGCCACAGTTTTCTGTTGGACTCCGACAGCGCCTGCAGTGTCATAACGCCATGCCTGGGAAGTTTTAGAAGAAAAGCTGGTCTCAGTATGATCTCATTGCTGTGGGGCCCCTGAGCAGACCATGTTTACACTGGCTGATTCAACTATAAAAGGACTAGTGGAACAAAAATAGCTTGTGTGCAAATGCCTGACTTCAAACCGTGTCCTCGCTCAGCTCTGTGCTTCACAGTCCACTCCCAGTTAAAAAGCCACAAATGCCTAACGTTAGTGTGATTCATCTTTTGCACCCAACATGCATTGTGTTTTTTTAATTTTGTGTGCACATTTTTACAATCTGCAGCCTTCTCATATCTTACAAAAACTTTCAATCTCATCAAAGAAATACTTTGCTCTTGGTTTGAACCGTAGCACTGCTTCAAGTAGCTGTGATAAATAATCTGATGACACAGGAAAACAAAAAGAAAGAAACAAAAAAACATAAGTGACAATTAGTATAAGCTTTGAACTACTTACATTAGTATTTGTTACAATTAAGAGATTGTTTTTCAACCAAATTATAGTTATAGTTGGTGATTTAATAATGGATCAGGTTTTGAACTAATAGTAATTTCAATGACCACATGTGGATGGAAATATAATTTGTGCTCACATTGTTTAAAAGCAATATATACATATTTATTAGGGGTGCAACAATACATGTAAATGGTAAATGGACTGTACTTATGTAGCGCCTTTCTATCCATTTCTATCCATTTGTACCCGTATCGAACAGTGCTTTGGGTTCAATACACACTTGTATCGAACAATACAGATTTTTAAAATTTATTTTATCAACTTGTTGCGGGTGTTTCGGAGAAACTGAGACGTTTATTTTCTAAACATGATGTCCCAGTGGCTTTCAAACCCCAAAACACATTACGGCAAAGGCTGGTTC